TTTAAAGGACCACTACAGTGCCAGGAAAACAAACTCGTTTTCCTGGCACTTTAGTGCCCTGAGGGTGCCCCCACCCTCAGGGTCCCACTCCCGTGGCGCTGAGGAGAGGAGGAAGGGGTTAATCCCTTACCTTTTTTCCAGTGCCGGGCTCCCTCGGCGCTGGGACCCTCTTCTGACGTCACCGGCTGAATGCGCATGCGCGGCAAGAGCCGCACGCGCATTCATCCAGTCTCATAGGAAAGCTTTCTCTTTAAAAATAAGTGAGAAGCGCCTCTAGCGGCTGTCAATGAGACAGCCACTAGAGGCTGGATTAACCCATAGGTAAACTTGAAACTCTGAAACTGCTATGTTTACAGCAAACAAGGTTAAACCTAGATGGACCTGGCACCCAGACCACTTCATTAAGCTGAAGTGGTCTGGGTGCCTACAGTGGTCCTTTAAGAAGTGCCTTAAAACCCATCTCGTTGGGAAAGCTTATGGTCTCCAAGACTAACCTCTACCTCACATACCTGTCTCTTGCTCTCTCCTAAAGGGCAGCCCACCTTATTTGACTGCAAATTTCTGTCCTAATGTGTTTTACACCCCACCTCCTATAGAATGTAAGCTCGATTAAACAGGGTCCTCTTCAACCTATTGTTCCCTTAAGTTTTTTGTAATTGTCCTATTTAAAGTTAAATCCCCCCTCTCATAATATTGTAAAGCGCTACGGAATCAGTTGGCGCTATATAAATGGCAATAATAATATACAAAAGTTAGGGATGAGGTTTTCACATTATTTACATATACTTCATTAAAAATAATCCATCTCCCTTTAAAACTTGATGAAAGCGGTATTATATTGAAAAATAGTTTTGAGGTGACAGCTGGTTATATAGACCTACAAAACTTGCTAATTAATACCTTCAAGAAAAAAACTTGATAATTAACCCCTTTAAGAAAAAGGGACCGGCATCCCCAGTTATGATGAATACATAGGTAAGTCATCTTTTATGAAGAAGTCAAAATATCCAGCATTTCACAAACCATGCAAAACTGACTGTGATGAAGTAACATGTAATGCAATGATAACAAAGGGGTCAATATCCCTCTTACAATAAATAAATGCACATAAACCCTACTGTGCAACCTTTCATTCCTGCCGATCACTTTTTTCCTGCTAAAATAGACCAAAATAATCTACGACCCTCTGCCGTGCCACTGACAGGGACATTACTGAGTAACAGACAAATATCCTTGCTTAAACTATGTGCCACATTGCAATAGCAATTCAATCCTGCTGCAGTATTCAGTATTTACACTATCTTTACATTGGAACACACCTCTTAATTATTGAATTCAGGTGTTTCAATCAGACCTATTGCCAAAGGGGGATTAAAATCAAGCATTGGTGAAAAAAATGGGTTGTGAAGAGCTCAGTGAATTTAAGCGTTCTACTGTGATAGAATGCCACCTTTACAAGAAGTCTGGTAAGGGTATTATTGTACAGTGGAAGCGTTTAGGAACTCTGCCATGAAGCGAAAGACCACGTAAAGTCACAGAGCGGGGTCACAAAGTTCTGAGGCGCATTATGTGTAAAAGTCGCCAATGCTCTGCTGATTCCATAGCTTAGCAGCGGGGGAGCTTCATAGAATGGGTTTCCACGGCCGAGTAGTTGCATTCAAGCCTCACATCACCAAGTACAATGCCAAACGTTGGATCGAGCGGTGTAAAGCACGTGATCACAGAACTTTGGAGCCCGGTAAACGTGTTTTGTGGAGTGATGAATTGCGCTTCTCTGTTTGACAGTCAAATGGATGAGTCTGGGTTTGGCGGATGCCAAGAGAACATTACCTGCCTGACTGCAATTTGCCAACTGAAAAGTTTGGTGTAGAGGGATAATTGTATGGGGCTGTTTTGCAGGGGTTGGACTAGGCCTCTTACTTCCAGTAAAGGGAAACCTTAATTCTTCAGCATAGCAAGACATTTTGGTAATACCATGCTTCCTACTTTGTGGGAGCAGTTTGGGAAAGGCTCCTAGTACAGCATGACTGTGCCTCTGTATACAAAGCAAAGAAATGTTTGGATGAATTTGTTGTGGAAGACCTAGACTGGCCCACACAGAGTTCTAACCTCTACCCCATCGAACACCTTTGGGATTCACTGGAATGGAGATTGCGAGTTTGGCCTTCTCATCCATCATCAATGCCTGACCTCACAAATGCTCTACTGGATGAATGGGCAAAATCTTGTGGAAAGCCTTCCCAGAAGAGTGGATGCTATTAGAGCTGCAAAGGGGAGCCCAACTACATATCAGTGTCTTTGTATTTAGAATGCAATGTCATAAAATTCCCTGGTGGTGTAATGGTCAGTTGTACATATAGTGTACTTTGAATCTGGACAGAAATATTTGTTGTATTATCTACTACACCTCAGTGGAGTAACAAATGGGTTGACTGCCTTGGTGAAATAAACTTTTTTGGGCCCCTCTCTAGTGCAGGGGTGGCCAAAAGGTATATCCCCATCTGAATATTGAACAATTCAAAAAGTGAGAGTGCGTCTGATAGCTCACAGTAATATTAAATGATATAACTTGCATGTATTTAAAAAGTTAATGATTATTAATGTAGCGCATAGAAAGGCAGGTCTCATTAATAAAAAAACCAAAAAAAAAACTGCAATAATGAAACAAACTGCACTCAAGATGGTACAGTAACACTTGGTATATCATACCAAATAGTAACAATATAATAATGTAACAGTTACCAGCCAGTAGCACCAAAAGAAAAATGTCAAGCCTACAGCAGGGGCAGGAAGGCCTTAAGTTAGCCTGATATATCACAAGTCCAAAGTCACTGAAGCAGAAATAAATGAATGATGTAATAAACAATAAAAACAAGATTAATAATAAAAATAAAACTATCTGGTCATAGACTCCAAATTGTAGCAAATTAAAATCAAAACCACAAATTTTTGGCAAAAATGGCTAATTCTAAAAATAATTCTCCAACTCCGCATTTGCTCACTACTTGACTATTTTAGCCTGTGTTTTACCTTCCAGAACTCAGTTTTCTTCAGTTCAAAGTTTAGTAAATAACCCCTATGTATGTATTTAGAACATATACAGTATATACTAGAGTATAAGTCTAGTTTTTCAGCACATTTTTTGTGCTTAAAAACACCCACTCGACTTATACTCGAGTCACTGTCTGTATTATGGCAACTTAGAGAGCCACGGCCATCAGAGCCGTGGCAACGATCCGCTGGCAACCAGACCGCGAGACTTACAGTGGAGCTTACCGGAACGGAGGAGAAGGGAGCTGACAGGAGCTGCAGGAAAGGTAAGTAAATGCTTCCTGCCGGCCCCCCCCACTTCACAGCCCATTCTGAATTCTATTTTTATTCATTTTAAATAAACTGACCCTACTTTGAGCCTCAAAATATATCCTAGCTATCTTGCTTTCTTATTTACAGTATATGTTTGTCTGTAATATACTGGTCAACATGCACATCTTGTATACCGACCTAAATAACTGGAACTTCCATCTTGTTGCTCTTACATGACATTATGAGCCTTGGGGTACAGAGATAGAGGTAGTTTATCAGATGGACCGTACTTCCAGGTCATGGAAGCAGAGGCACTCCTGTTTCCCCTCAATGGGCGCTCCCTGTGTACTGATTTGTTTTGACTCTGCTATGTTAGAGAACATTCAAAGTCTGTTAAGAAGGAAGGAAACTAAAAGGTGTTTTAATAAATCCTATTGGTTCATAGTAACAAGCGGAGGCCAGGGTCCTGCATGCAGGATAATAAAAATGGTGTCAACCGCATCAGTACGATGGCTTCATGGGATGCTGAGTGCAATATTTATAGGATATTTGCTGGCGTTGCCATGAATAGGTAATATTTATGTTTCTATTTGTTAGCATTTCTTAAAGAACCACTATAGTGCCAGGAAAACATACTCGTTTTCCTGGCACTAAAGTGCCCTGGGGGTGCCCCCACCCTCAGGGACCCCCTTCAGCTGGGCTCTGGGGAGAGGAAAGGGGTTAAACTTTCCTTTTTTCCAGCACCGAGCGGGGAGCTCTCCTCCTCCTCTCCGCCTCCTCTCCTCCTCTTCGGCTGAATGTGCATGCGCGGCAGGAGCTGTGCGCGCATTCAGCCAGTCACATTCTCTGAAACTGCTATGTTTATAAAAAAAGGGTTACTCCTAGAGGGACCTGGCACCCAGACCACTGCATTAAGCTGAAGTGGTCTGGGTGCCTAGAGTGGTCCTTTAAGAGATACTTAAGAGACTTTTTTGCCTAGCTTCACCTGAGGAGTGCAAAAGTAAAATATTTGTAATTTTCCTTAAATATAAAGATATATTGAACTCTGCCCAGTATTTTTACATAGATTTAAGAGAAAATGGCATCTTTAGGATTTTTGAATAACGCATTAGTGATAGTTTAGCTATATATGATGCCCACTCCCCCATAATTATTTTTTTTTTAAAATGATGTCAGAACATTGAATACATTGTAAATTCATATGTTGTTGGAAGCTGTCTGAGAGGTTAAATGTGTATTATTATACTTGCCACACCCAAACACAGAATCGACATAATTCCTTTTATTTTTAGAAATGTGCCCAAGTACTGATTTTTAGAGCGAACTCTCCATTACGTCTAATGACCTATTTATTAGAACGAGACACTGTTCTTTCACATTGAGCTGCCATGCAGCTGTGAGCAAACAAAATGGCATCTGTCCCATTAACATATAAGTACTGCAGTATCATTAGCTTTTTTTCTTGTTGAAGTCTTCATAGTCTTTTGCTAAACTTAACCATTCTTACTCATGTCCTGATCTACCATTCACTTGCTGTATTGTGATTAGAAAGCCAATGTTGTACAGCCATAGGTGATAGATTGTCCTATTCCGATTTGATCATAGAGCTTGGATGTAACACAGGTTACTTGCTTTACTTGGTCAACAGCTTTTTTTTTTTTTTTTCTCCCCTCCCCCACCCCCCCACAACCCCAAACATTCATTAACCACTTCCTCTGTTTGTTTTTTGTGTATGTTGATACATTTGCCATGACACCCATGCTATGCGTGTGCTGTTTGGCGTGGGGTTTACAGAGTGTGCCAACACAGGATAAACCCTGGAGAACAATCTAGATAAGGGACAATTCACACACCTTCCTGTTCAGAGACGTTTGTAAACCAAGCACATTTTCTGCTGTTTTGGAAAGTGTAAATAGAACTGGTTAGTGCTTCTCATTCACACACCGTAATAATAATGAATATAGAGGTGGTTGGTGAATGAAGCAGACTTCTTTTTTTTTTTTCTCCAGAGACACAAGGGGATGTGACAAATTCTTTTAGTTTTGTATGGTATTTTCAAACAAAAACACGCCTGTAGTTAGATGGTTTAATAAATTAATTATATTAATGTTTTTTATGCTTGTTGCTCTCTGTGTATGATGCAGGTCTCATAATCTCCTAAACAAAGACTCTCAGCTTTTATACACTTGTAGGTGACTCCAATTTTTCCAAGAAATACTAACTCTTTGCAGTCCGCAGGAGGTTATCATTCGGAAAGGGATTTGTTACACATACAGACATCTGGTAATGTTCAGTTAAAGCAAAGTTATCATTAGGTAGCATTTAGTACTCCTTCTCTGCTCTTTTTATGCTTGGTAATGGTACACCAATGATACCTCTCCCTTCAGTATGCTATTTTTGTGGTTTTCGATTGGTTGGAATAAACACAATTTACCATCAGGCACTGGGCAACTGCCTACAGTAAGATATTTAATGTAGCCTCACATCTCTTCCTATTTAGCATTTAAAGGGTTAATTTAGGCCCCATAAGTGCTTTACATTGCTGAGAAGAGCACCTTGAGCCCACTGTCACTGCTGAGAGTGGCGTATAGCAGCAGCTGTTTGTATTGCTATAACACAGCCCACCAAAGTTGTTAATCAGGTAGCTAACACTTCTGGGTTGCCTTGCGTTAATTATGTCCCCATTGTGCATGCAGTGTCCGAATGCACAAAGGGGACGGATCTCTAGACTTTGAACTGCATTTTTAAAATGTATCCTAGTATTCACTGTGTTAAAATGCACAAATATTTATTGAAGAATGGGTAGCCAAGCTACTGCCATGTACATATTTGCGGTCCATGTTGAAGAAAAAGAAAAAAGTAGCACTGCCTTACACCCTTGTGAGGAATGCATGTGATTTCAGTTGTGCATTTGTAGAACCGAAAACAAGCAAATCTTGGTTGTGCATCCAGCAGAGGGAATGGTCTGTGAGGATATAATACGGATTAGCCATGGGAGGTCTGAAGAGTTTCCCAGTCACAGAATTAAACAGCTGTTCTGTGAGAGTGCTCAGTGCCCACATTTGTCAACCCCTGACACCTCCTTATGTAGATCTACATTGTTCTGAAAGTGCTGCCACGCTTAATTGTTAACCCATGCATTACACTTTCCAACATATATTGCTGCCATTTTTACTAATGTATTGAGTTCTGTATTCCATTGTTATAACTATGTATTGTACATATTCAGCAACTGTATGCATTTTTTGTATAACTAAATTTTAACAATTTTTTTTTTGTAGTTTTAGTCTAGCTGTAGTGTATTGTTAGATTATGAATAGCCTTGAAATTATAAAGTTTGTCATTCTTATATTTCTCAAGCAGTTGTCTATTAAAGCACACTTCTCTCCACATGTAAGTGCACTATATTGGTTATGGTGTTTGGAGTGTTCATTTGAATGACCCCTTCTGTCTAATTACAAAACATGTACTATAGTCATGATACTGTAGGAAAAGCACATTTCAATAAATAAATTTACTTCAAAACAAGATTTATAGCAATGGAACCCTATCTAATGCAGCAAATTTCTGACAACCACATGGGAATGAGGTCCACTAAAAACCAAAAATGTAGGAACTAGACTCGTATGGTTAGGCAACCTCCGGCACTCCGGATGTTGTGGACTACATCCCCCATAATGCTCTTACACCCATAATGCTGGTAAAGCATCATGGGAGGTGTAGTCCAAAACATCTGGAGTGCTGAAGATTGCCTATGCCTGATAGAGAATAGAAGAATATTGGAAAGCTACTTGGGGTGTAAATTGTTAGGCGGTTGAGATAGGCAAGGGGAGTGTAAATGTGTCTTAAAGGGACACTCCAGGCACCCAGACCACTTCTGTCCATTGGAGTGGTCTGGGTGCCAACTCCCAATACCCTTAACCCTGCAAGTGTAATTATTGCAGTTTTCATAAACTGCAATATTTACCTTGCAGGGTTAACTCCTCCTCTAGTGGCTGTCTAGACAGCCACTAGAGGGCACTTCCGTGTGTATAGCACACATTCCATGTGCTATAGCGTTGCTGGATGTCCTCACGCTATGTGAGTACCTCCAGTGTCGCTGAAATCACCATAGGAAAGCATTGAAAGCATTTTTCAATGCTTTCCTATGGGGAGGTCTAATGCGTGTGCGCCGCATCAGGTCTCCCCCGCCGGCGGCCACGCATTTATGCGTTCACATATACATATTTATGTGTGTCTGCATGGATAAAGTGTACCATCCTCTGCACTGTCTGCTTGTTTGTTTTTCTTTTCTCTCTCTCCCCCCTCACTCTGCTCTTCAAAAATATATTTATGACCCTCTGCTAAGATGGTGTCTATTTTCTAACAAACCTGTGTCTTATCTACACTCATGTCGCTTTAACCCCTGTATCACAACTCAACTTTGAATTCTATGTGTCGTCTTGCTCAGAAATGCTTCAGAATTGAGAAAGGGAGGTTTTCCTGAAAGCTTGTCATTAAAAAATTCTGTTAGTCCAATAAAAAAGATATTACAAGATACACATTTTCATATATATATATATATATATATATTATGTACTTTTTATTATAAAATAATTATATGTTATATCCTTCCCTTCATACGTTTGGCTGGGAGGGGGGACTTTGCTGCCAGCCCTGGTGGTTCGGTAGGAAATCTTCGGTGGCCCTAGTGGCATTGCCATGGTAACTGCGCCAACGCTCCTACCTCACGAGAGGAACACAGCGTATCTACAAGCTAATGGCTCTCGGGTTCTCCCGGGCCCTCCTCAGTGCTGCCCAGTAAAGTGCCTGTGGGGTGGTGAGGGAGATCTTTGATCTCCCTACTTTCCCATGAAGGCTCACATCAGGGCTAGAGCTCTGTTACTGCGGGCCCTGCATTGGCCAGCCTCGGAGGTCTCTTTATCTCCGCTGTCTGCCTCGGCCCATGGCCAGCGCGGCCCACCAGGGATTTACCCTGTATGCCTTATGGCCAGTCCTGGCCTGATGTACACAGCTCAGCCCTGTGGAAGTTACTTTTAATGCACAACCAGGCTGAAAACCGGGAACCTACAGAAAAACAGGTAGTGAAATCCTTACTATATGTCTCCCTGGATGTACTCTCCTTTTAATGCAGATTGCTTTGTAGTTCAGATCACTCAGTACTGTCTGATGCTGAGCTGTGTATGTATACTCAATAAGGAAGTCATTTACTGAAGTGAGGGAGTTTGGCTAAAGAGGCAGGCTCATGGTGTAGCGATTTTTTGCAAAACATCTTTATTTTTTAATTTTAGGAAAAGCTGTAAAGATTTCAGAATGCAGAAAAATACAGCATATTAATCAGGCGAATAGAGTGTACCTTTTACAATTTGGGTATTTATTGACAGCAGTTAATTAGCCCCACTTATACAAATTCCATTTTGGTGTCTGCTAAAAAGCTTAATGAAGCAGATTTGGTGCATAGATCATGTCCCTGCAGTCTCACTGCTCAATTAACTGCCATTTAGGAGTTACATCACTTTGGTTATGCAGCCCTAGTCATGTCTCCCTGTATACGCCTTGCACAGTCTTCAAAACCACTTCCTGTATAGAGACCTCTAATGGTTATACTACCTTTACTGCAAATTGTTTAATTTAGAATTTATTAGAATTTTTTTTTTTTTTTTTAAAGTAACAACTAATTGAAAGTGAAACTAGTTTTTTCATGCAGGCTGTGTCAGTCACTGCCAGGGGAGGTGTGGCTAGGACTGCATAAACAGAAACAAAAGTGGTTTAAAGCGGCACTGCCATGCCCAACTTACCTTTCTTTAAGCGATTCCTCTTCTCTCCCTCTGTCAGGAGCTGTTCTTCATTTCTTCCTGTCTGCTCTAGTTTTCTTTAAAACATAAGACAAAGTAGAGACTACTTTGTCTTGTGAAGGTTTCCTATGCCTGACCATCTATAAATGTGTGCTCCATTTCCGGTGGTCAGAGCAATTTCCCCACAAGTCTCACCTTTCCTGCATGATCTCTCGATGCTTCCCGTCCGTATTCCTGAACGTCCTGTCACTTAGACAGAAAGCAGACGAAACTACCGAATTTCATCCCAACAAAATGAGAACAATTTCTCCATTTGTGTTAGGACGCAATTTCGTGACTTCGCTCGTATCGGAATTTCATTTATATGAATGTAACTCCGATCCTATTCGTGCCTCGGCTGCATCTTGCAGCCGCTTAGTAGATAGCGCCCTAATTCCCATGGTATCAGGAAGCTATCTAACAATTATTAAAGTAAATTCGGCCCCTACTCGCTATACTGCGAGTAGGGGTATGTTTAATAAACAGTGAGCACCCAGTGGCCACTTTAAGCTAGTCAGTAGCACTCCATTTACAAAACCGCTTGAGAAACATGTAATTTTTCTCCAGCAGTTTTTTTTTTTTTTTTACATGAGGAGCATCAGCTCACTCTCTAAGCCAGTACGCATGCCCCTGTCCAAGTCTTCCTGGCTCAAGACTTTTAGAGAAGCAGATGGACAGGGGCAGAGCAAAGCGGTGCTGGATTCAAGACTTTGGGGTTGAACCGTTTAAGGTAAGTCCACACCAAGGGCACCACAACAGCTTAATTCTGGTCACTATTTTATGGTTCCCATAGTGTTCCTTTAAAATGCTACATTTGTTCATTCGGAAAATCCAGTTTGAGGATCCCTTGGCTTGTTTATACCTAGCTTGTCTGTATTTAGCAAACAGCTTATCTGCTTAGTTTCATGTAATCCTGATGGATGCTGCCGAGAACAGCTCTTCTCAGAATACAAGTGTCCTGACACTTCTCATGACCTTTCTATTACCTTTCATGGTTTTTATGGTGGAAAAGGTAAACATGTATAGAATATATATGCTTTGATCTTTCTTGGACATTAAAAATAACTAACTAAATCTGAATTTGTTCTTTTGACTGATATCTTTATTTGTACAGGTTTTTTTTTGTTTTTGTTTTTTTAGGTACAATAGGACCTTTGATTGAAGTGTTGTGCGTTAATGCTGCTTTTCATATATATATGGCTAAATGTATTTATAGTAGACTTAGTGAAGAGTTTTGGGGGGTTGCTAAATACAATTTGTAATTGTTAGCCCTTTGTCTTTTTTGCCTGTATGTTTCAGACTCCTCCATTTTTATTACAAAAACTGTTAAGTTTACCTTTTCCTTTACATGCAATCTAGCGCTAAATCAGACTGTCCTGAGCAGCCTTGTCCATCTTCGTTATGGTCATCAGGCTCGATGACCATTTTGTCCATGTGTATGGATTGTTTAACCCTACAATGAGAACATTGCACTATTTCCAAGGACAATGTTTTTTACACTGTAGGAGGGAAAAGGCATGGCCACTGCACCCAGACCAGTTCATTGAGATAAAGTGGTCTGTGTGATTTTAATTGTCCTTTTAAGGGACCAATACAAAGCTATTTTCTTAACACTATCATGTCTCATTGCCGCCTTGGCCCCCCACTGAGCTTGCCAATCAGCCGGGGGACCTAATGCCCATGCGGGGTGGGCGCTACGGACTCTTTAGGCCTTCCCCCATAGGAAAGTATTGAGTCAAAGATTTCCTATGTGGTTTTTCAACATGCTGGACATCCTAATGCAAATTCTGTGAAACTGCAGGAAGCTCCACTAGTGACTGTCTGGCAATGTTTTACATTGTAGGGTTAAGGGAACAAAGACATGGCACCCAAACCTACTTCAAAGAGATAAAGTGGTCTGGATATCTATAGGGTCCCTTTTAACATTATTGAACACATGGACAATACCACTTCAGACTGATAATTTTGTATTTTGTTTCTGTTGCATAAAAACAATAATGTGTCTCTCTTTATTCTTTAGATCATTCTACATCCAGTGCCACATCTACGTTCAAACCAGTGAACTCCATGGTTTGCCTTCCAACTGCGCATGTGATTCCCTCTACAGCCAGGTCTGCACTGCCCAGGCACAGGGACGAGATGTTGGACATAACACATTGGGACAGTAGCTACTCTTTGCTTGGTGGCAACAGAAACTATGGCTTATCTGAAACTCCCCTAGATATGAAAGATTCAAGACCCATGAAGAAATGGTCATCACTATCTAAGTTGAGTTCAGCAGATTCTCTAAGTCAAGATGGCCGTGTTGACAAATCTAGTTCCCGGCATAGCCTTGAACGTTTGGGAAGAGACAGCGCCATGTCTCAGCAGTCCCGTGGGCACAGGCCAGCTTGCTTACACCACAGCATAGAGGCGTTGAAGCTGGATGATAAAGATCTGGACAAGAAGCAAATTTTAGGCATTGATTGTAAATATAAATATGACAGTTGTAGCAGCAATGACTTTACTAGCTCTGCTAGCAGGAGACACACCTTGGACATGACCTATAGTGCCTTACCTGAAAGCAAACCATCTCCTGTGAGTGATGTTTATGGACAGAAATGCAGCCACTTTGGATACCAAGGTGGAGTTCCACTTCAGTCTTCTGTAAGGACTCAGATGTGGCTTACAGAACAACTTCATGCTAATTCCCAAGAGCGCAGGACAGCTGAGGGAACTGGTGGTTTGCCATCTTGGCACCCATTAGAACATCTCCATTCAGATACAACAGAGCACATTCAGGTATGTAATTGATGTGTTGGTGAATGCTGCCATCTAGTGGTTTTCTGTTAGAATTGACGAACACAAATTTGCTTATGCTATGTAGGATGAAATACAGCAATAAGTTGAAATGATTTACCTGCAAAGAATAGATTTGACTTTTTCTAGTTTTAAAGTGTTTGGTATGGACTTGATGTTATTACCTGACTCATGGCACTCCAAGTAAATGTACAGATTTGTATGGCAAGCAAATTGCCTCACACACGTGTCATGGAAGTACACTTTCAGTATATTTGGAAATTTTTAATAAGTATGGAAGATGATGTGTATGCTGGAAATATTTACAGTTAAGCTCTTGCCTTGTAGAAGTCATTCCGTTTGCATACTGGTAGTTAAAATAAAGCCGAGACAGCAATTGCAGGTAGACTCATACAAAGTGACACATTTGACATTTATATGATGAATTTAGAAATGTACACTAACAGAATATGTGCATTCCAAGCTGCTAATAATGTCCTTTTATATTCTATTTCTCCTTCCTTTTGGGTAGAAGGGTTGTATGGCTGTCGTGGACCTTAATGCACATTTTGTACTAGGGCCCTAGCGTTTCCTCTTGCGTATGCACATTGACAATCAAAAAGATCAAAATATTTTAGATGAGAAATGGATAATGCAAAAAGTACAAAAATATATAGAATTACTCTCACCTCCAGCCGCATTTAGCATAAAACCATAGGTTGCCAAATAACCCCAAACCAGCAAACTTGTACATGCCCACTGCAGGGTCTGCATGGACAGTAAGGACCTATTAGTTTTTGTGATTGGCCAAGTTTATTCTCAATACAATATTTTGCCCAGATCTTATCTAATGAATGAGTAGCAGTTCTGAAGAGCCAGCATCATAAGAGGTTTTTGTCAAAGCATGCTCCTATATGGAAATAATAAGTAGATAAATTACTTAATGTAGCAATACACATCCAAGTGGTGATATTTGGAACTGCATGCACAAACAAAATAAAAATCTGGTAATAGTGTGCAATATTATTTTGCTTTGTGTTGCTTCTCTAATACAGCATTGTTGTATAATATGTATAGTGGTAGCATGTGTCATCTGGGGCTATGTGCAGGGGGCACCAAACTGACAGATGAGCTTTATGCAGCACTTAGAGGAATAATATAGTCACCAAAACAATGTTGGCTTAATAAAGCAGTTTTGGTGTATAGATCATGCCCCTGCAGTCTCGCCGTTCAATAATTTGTTTATGCAGCCCTAGTTGCACTTCGCTGCATGTGACTTACATACATCTAATGGTTACACTTCCTTTACTGCAAATTCTGTTCTATTTAAAATTTCTTATCCCCTGCTCTGTTATAGCTTGCTAGAACCTGCAGAAGCTGATTTATATGTAATTAAAGTTCAATTTACAAAACAGGAGATACAAACTTTTACATCTAACTAAAAATGAAACCAATTGTTTTCCTGCAGACTGAGTCAGTCACAGCCAGGGGAAGTGTGGCTAGGGCTCCATGGACAGAAAGAAAAGCGATTTAGCTCATAAATGGCAGTGAATGGAGCAGTGAAACTTCAGTGGCATGATCTATACACTAAAACTGCTTCATTAAACTAAAGTTGTTTTGGTGACTATAGTGTCCCTTGAATTATGTGCCCTATAAATACTGTATTAATTCAGTCTGGCGTTGACTTTATAAAGACCTCATTTGGAGGTCAAAAAGTTGCTGTGATACTTTGACGTTCATTAAATTTGACTGGAAGTCAACCTTAAGTGCCTCAAACAAATATTCCCATACTTGAAGTTCTTTATTGTCCTTTCCAAATGAAATTATTCAATTCTGTGCTGCTGCTCTCAGACAACACTGTCTTCTAATATTGCCATTCATACAGTACGTTTTATATCATTGTAATAGTTTTATTTTTTTACCCTTTTAGAAGGTTTGATAAGTTAGTAGTGTGTGTATACACACACACTACTTAGAATATCTGGGGACCCTTGCCATTACAGTTGTACTATTTAAAATAATTTTTATTTGTGTGCATATTTTTATCTCTGATTACAAAATATAGATAATATCCAAAATATCAGGTGAAATACATTTAAAGGCTTATTAAACAACCATAAACCGTACACAATATTTTCATTATTTAGAGAGATTAGATTTTTTCTTACGTTTTAGATTGATTGTTTGTCTGTTGTATATTGTCCAAAGGAAACCTCCCAGTAACTCCTGGTATCTTTAGACTCTCAGGCTATTATTCAATTAGAGCACTCAGCCTTGAAGTGTTAATGTACTGTTAACTGTATCCAGTTAAATTTAATTTACTAGATTCGTCACTAGCCGATTCCCTCATAATTTAAACATCTTGTTAATCTACTTTTAGCCTCTGACAGTAAAGAGGCTAATTAGATAGTCACCTCTTTACCTCTGGTTGTACGTCCTTCTCATGGTTTTGAGTAATGCACGTATTGAAATCTGCGTTCTGTACTGTCACTCTTTACTGTTAATATTTGCACTCAGTGTTTTTTTTTTGTTTGTTTTTTTTATCTATCATGGTGAATTTGTTGTTTGTTCTCTTGTTAATATAGCAGTCATTTAATCTTTATTTTATTATCGTTCTGGTTACTCTCACTGTAAGACTTGTTTTTCTTTCATTTATTCAAGTTTGAGACATTACAGAGCATATCCTGATCAGCCACAGCATGAATACACTGATGAAGTGAATAACATTGATTATATTGTTATAGTGACATCTGTCAAGGGGTGGGATATAGTAGACCGCAAGTGAGCAGTGAGTACTTGAATTTCATGTGTTGAAAGCACTAAAAATGGGCATTTAAAAAGATCTCACTGGCTTTGACAAGGAATAGTGATGCCTAGAGGACAGGCTCAGAGCATCTTTACAATGGCAAGTCTTGTGGGGTGTTTTTTGTTTTGCAGTGGTAAGTACCTACCAAAAGTGGTACCAGGAAGGACAGCCGGTGAACCACCATTAGGATCTTGTGCACCTAAGGCTCATTGATGCAGTTGGCTAGCCCATCTGGTCTGCTCACACAGAAGAACTACTGTAGCCCAAATTGCTGAAAAAACGTAATGCTGGCCGTGATAGAAAGGTGTGAGTGCACACAGTACATCACAATTTGCTGCATATGGGAATACGTAGCTGCAGATCGGTTCAGAGTGCCCAT